TCTCTCTCTCTCTCTCTCTCTCTCTCTCTCTCTCTCTCTCTCTCTCTCTCTCTCTCCCCCTCTCTCTCTCGCTCGACAATTCATTTTACCTTCTCGTAGAGCCAAAAGGCGCTCTTCTCTCCCACGCTGAGTCCAGACTTCGTGAAGTCCTTGATCCCCTTGAATTGCGTGAAAACGAACTCGCTCGCCCGGTTGGAGTAGAACATCTGCGGCTGGCCGGAAACCGGCGTCATAGGCACCGGCGTTTGTCCATACGGAGTCGACACGTAGCCCATGCCTGACTGCGGGTAATATTGCCCGGGCAGCGGCAGCGTGATCTTCGGCCTGGGCATTTTTCGTACTTGCGGCGAGCTCGACATTCTCTCGGGATCGTCTCTTTACCGTAATCAAGTCGGGACACTTGAAGTTGGGTCACCGGGCGCGGCGGTGATCCGTGACAGGTTCCCTAGTCGCACGTCGGGATCCTCGTCGAGAATCCGTCACGAGGTGGGACAGTCCGGCGCTCTCGAGGGGCGAATATGTCTCGCGGGACGCATTGTGCGTCCGGCTGCATTTAAATCCACCCAATCCACCCGAGAGACATCTCGAAGCAGCTAACGCCGTCTAAGAAATATCCTATCGCGATGGGATTTCGGCCACGCGTGTTGCGTGCGATCCGTGCGGAGAGAGATTGCAGAAAGGTTGCAGAGAGAGAACTTGTCGCCGAGTGTTTTCGCCAAGCGGCCACAAAGGTGGTCGCGCGTTCGCTATTCGCGCCGTGTAAACCTGTCGAACGTGTAGGTGTGGGTGTTCAGTGTCACTCACCGAAGATGTTTTCTCGAGGAAGATTTGCGCAATTTCCCTCGAGTGCTACGCAATAAGCGGCGGTGTATCCTTTTTGTCCCGGCCACGATTTTCTAGATCTATGAATTTTATTCGAGCCCGAGTATAAATAGACGGACACTGAGAAGCGGGAAGAATGTTGGCAAGCTCTCTCCGTAGGACACTGCGAGAAAGAGAGAGAGAGAGAGAAAGAGACAAGTCTGTCTTGAGAGTCAGTCTGAGCGCGTGATATATCGGTTTCTTTCGTCAAATTTATGAAAAGCGTCACTCACGGTCCTACAAACGATCCTAATGATCGCGGGGAACCATTAACACGTCGTTATTTTCTGAGCCACAAAAGACCGCGACTCGGTTGAAATGTTGAATTAAAAAGGACGTTAAAAGATTAATATGAAGATGCAGAGAAAACGCGAATTATAGTTGCCGTGATGAAATTTCATACAGAAGAATCTTAGCTTGATGTATGATCGATATCGAATATATATTGCATAAAGCTTGGAGAGTTTTTCGCTACGTATGATGTATGTGTAGTGCTAATATCAGAAACATTAAAATCCCCGGAGATTTATTCGAGAAGCACCAATTTCTCTTGAAGAAATGTTAATACCAAGATTTATTATATATTATAGCTCTTGCTATTATCTCTCGTAATCTCTTGTAATTATGTATATTATTTATAATATTACAGCTTGTAATAATCTGGAACAAGTGAGACCTGAAAACTGCTATTAGATTTACTGGAGGAAAAATACTTATTATACACAGAAAGTCGATATTTTAAAAAATGCCGGCACTTCAAAGAGTTACAAGTCATTTCTGCTCTTTCTTTCTCTGTTCATTATAATATTCATATTGTCATTGATCTTAACATAAATAATTTTGCTGGCCTTACATCCGTTAGGAAACATTAAGAGGAGGTTCTAGTTTAGATAGTCAAAAAGTAAGTTTTTACGAGTTCTTTTACCAAAAAAATGTATAATAATAATAATATTTATATAAAGATTAATATAGAATCTTAACCGTACTATTTGTTATTGTTCTAAGCACAAAAAATTATTCTTTGATTTAAAAAAAATTTAATTCCGTTGTCCAGATTTTTTGCTCGGTATTACCGGACCCTTCTAATCGATTAACAATATTACACAGCTCTAATAATCTAGAACAAATGAAACAAGAAAATTTCAAAACTACTAATTAAATTTGTTGGAGGATGAACATACGTTATACATAGAAAATCAAAATTTTAAAAAATGTCAGCATGTTACAAATCATCTCTTTTCTCTCTTTTATTTTCGTTTAATGTTTCGGGAAAAACAGTAATTCTAGATATTTTTCGCAGAATTTAGTTTCATCTTCCAAAAAGTTCAATACGGTTTTTATATTTCCTTGTTTCTCGCTTGTATCAGTTTACACGAGCATTATACGAGCTGTAATACATATTATCCACCATTTAAAGACATCACTGCGCTCAGCACAAAAAACCTGGAAAAATATCAATTTTTCTTAATTAATAATTTTTTTAATTAATAATTTTTTATACTACATACAATGATAGATAATATAGTCGAGACCTTATACCAGTATCTTCATCCATTCCTTTGAAAAAAATTCCTACTATTTTTCGGCTATTTAAAGCAGAACCTCCTCTTAAATTGAGCATTTGTGAGAGACCAATCCGATTAATTACACTACTGATCTCGACATAAGTAATCTTCCTGGCTTTGCGTCCGTCGGGGGACATTAGATTGGGTATTCGCGTCAGGCGCAAATCCACGCATTCAAAGAAAATTAATCTTTACATCCGAGCGAGAGGGATATTAATAATTTGGTATCCGAGGGATCTTAGCGCGTCGGCCTAATCAACGCGAGTTATAATCGAGAAGGCAGCAATCGCGCCGGTATTCATTGATCTTGACCGTGCCAGGTGTTTTTCCTTGTGATCACGAAGTCGCGCTCCTGTAATTCGGATCCTGTTTCTATCTAAAATTATTCGGCCGACATGTAGCGCAGGTCGACGGCCGCGGATGGATTCTAGCAATAAATAGTACGAGCGTGTGCGAAATACTCGGGTCGCGTTCAAATCATAGGAGAATATATTCCGCGAGTTGTGCACGATTGCACGTGCTGTATGCTGACCGCTGCCTGGTGCGATTCGACATTCGACACCGCGAAGTGTGTGGGGGAAATCGGGGCTAGATGCCTATATCTTAGAATTTCGAAGTTACAATTTCTCAGGTAACTGATTATTGTGACTGATTGTATAAACATATGATAGAGGCAACCTTCCTCTATGTATTAATGCCCGCCACAACTCTGTTAACCGTACACGGAGAAAAATAATTTTGTTCTTCTAGCAAAATCGTCGTTGCTACTGCATATTCGTAGTGACACCAAAAAAGTTTAGTTGACAGCAAATCTTTTTACTATCCATATAATAACGAAAAGATTTGGCTGGACCAGCACAAAATTTGCTGAGCCAGCAAATTATTTTTCTCCGTATATATTTCATTTTATAATAACCGAAATATGAACATATACACGGAGAAAAATAATTTGCTGACCCAGCAAATTTTCTGCTGGTCTAGCAAAATCTTTTCGTTATTATATGGACAGCAAAAAGATTTGCTAAGAGTACTAATCACTATTTGCTAAATATAATTTGCTGAAATTATTTTGTTATAAGATATAATGTTTTGTTATAAGTTATGATGGATTTATATAAGCAGTTGCAATTTTGCTCCGATAGCGAATAAATTTGCTAAGGATACATTATTTTGCATCAATAGCAAATTAACGTGATTCTTAGGACAAATACACTCAACAAATTTTTTCTATCCTCGCAACGAAACTATTTCTGCTCTAATAACAAGTAATTTGTAAAATTAGTTAAGTCAACAAAATTTTTTTGATATCACTACGAATGTATCAACGACGATTTTGCTAAAAGAGCAAAATTATTTTTTTCCATGTAGCAACTTAATCATCTTGTACTAGTATCGGATTCAGTTGTCTAGTAGTGCAGAATAAAGAAGGCTACGTATAAAATATGTATTCTGATTAGTAGCTTCAGAATCTACCTGCCTACCTGCGGTCCTTAATTATGCCAACTTTATCTTGTCCGCCTATATGCTCTATTTCAATCGTTTAATGAATGAAAATTACATCGCGGAAAAAATAATTTGCTGCAGCAGCAAACTAATTTGCTATATGGACAGTTAAATATAATTCGCTGTTAGCTACTTTTTCTTTGCTGCAGGAACTATTTCCTTGCTATGATAACAAGAAAATTTGCTACAGATGAACAATTAAACATAATTTATTGCTTTAACTACTTTTTTGTTGCAGGAGCAAATTTTCTTGTTATCACAGCAAGGAAATTGATTCCTGCAGCAAAGAAAAAGTGTCTAACAAATCTGTCTGCAGCAAATTATGTTTAATTGTCTATATGTAACAAATCTTTTTTTTCCGTGATTCATTACCAGAAACAGAATATCATATACTTGCAAGAAATTTTATTCTAGCTAGTATGTATCAATATAACACATCGTTTAATTTTATTCAGTCACGATAGAAAATGTTAATACAAAATTTCAAGAGACTCGAAAATTTACTTTGCTATTACCAAATCAGTTTTTTTTTTTCTTAACTGTAATATTATTCTGATTTTAATGAAACTCAAAGAAAAATATTTATGTGTAAAAGACCATTTCGCAATTTTGTATCCACTATTTCTGTCAAGATAAATACTAAAAAAAGCATATAAGTTACATACTCCTAAAGCCATATAGCCTCGGTTTCCCCTACACAATGATTTTCGAAAATTGTAATTGTGAAAACGCGATATCTTTATATAATTTTTATTGTATTGGATTTTCTCTGCATAGGATGGCTCAAAAAATATTGTACGAATATTTTCAACGAGAAATCATTCAATTAATTCCGGAAATATTCACGGAAAAAAATTTACAATGCCAGGTTATTTACAATGCGAGACTCTACACACTCGCTACTTAAAAATAATCGAATTACGTATCCAAATTCAACCAATGCATTCGGCGTTACGCGTGAAATATAGGCGGTCATACGAAAAAGAACGTTTTGCATATAGGAAACGCGCGCTCTCTCTCAAATTTCCCTACTGCCGTTTAAACATTTTAAGCTATACGCTTCCGCGTGAAAATATTTTATATGACATTGCTGTCATATAAAATAAAATTCTCCAAATGCTTAATAAAATTGAAATTGAAAGAAAAAGTTCTCCCGTGAACCTTTCCGGAATCAATTGAATGATAAATTTTTCAATGAAAATATTCTCACGATATCTTTAGCTCTGAAACATTCTTGCTCAAATTTTTCTTTCGATTTCGTTCTGTTATTTTATATTGAGATATTCTATACAGAGAGAACACATTACAATAAAAATTACGAAGATCATATTTCATTTTACAATGTTTTTTGTGTAAAGTTAAACTATACAAACATATTGTAACAGAAATTACTACAGAAACAGTAACTTTAACGATCTACTGAATATACAATATAGAAAACATTAAAATGATCACATAATTTTGTAGTGATGAATCAAACGTACGTAATTGCGTACATTTCTCGACAGATATATAGTAATTTCGGTTCAACATTACAGAATTTTGTTGTAATTTTGATTACAATATTTTCTGCGTGTACACTGTGTGTGAGAGAAAAATATTTAAGAAACAAAACTATTTATTCGATGGATACCACACACACATAATGACATACATATATATTTCCTTATACTATGAAACATAATTATATATGAAATATTTTTAAATAAAATACTTATATTTTCTTAAAATCTTAGCTTTTCATGAATTATTTTATTTCAATAAAATAATTGGCATAAATAGTTATGTAAGAATGATCCAATTCACATGAAATACATTTCAAGAAAAATAAAGATAAAAATTTGATACACGATTTTTTAAAAGAAAATATAGATAGCACTGAGATTCTTCGTAATCATTCAAGAAGTCAAACGTGATCAATTTTCTTTCTTTTAAAAGTATTCATTGATAAGCTTAACCTATTTAAAATCTATTTAAAAAAGATGCAACTGATAGAAAATAAAAACTATTTTTTTAATTAATTTTCAGCGCACATAAAACTTGAATTTTTTATGTAGAAAAACGTATAAACTATACCTGTTGATAAGAAAAATTTATAATTTTGTGAGCTGGATCATTCTTGCATAATTATAGCCAATTTAGATTTAAGTGAATATATTATATCGGTATTCACCGAATCAATATTTTTTTATTTTTTAGATGTTTTTTCTCTCAATGTACGTAAGCCATCATTCCTCCCGTTTCTTCGTGTTTTGTATACGCGACATAAAAAAGTTACGTACTACGAAACATCATTATCACGCAAATGAGATAATCGTACACAAGAAGCTGCGCGTCCACAATCAACCTGCGATTTGTAAATCTTGAGCTGTAAGAAAATGCCCGAATCGAAATTTTAGTCCTACTTTGGAGCTGAACTTTCCAACATCTACATATCCTGAAAAATCAATGTATATATTTAATATACGTGGAAATCCTAGTTAGCGCTTCTAGATGACAGAAAACGCACAAAATGCCACTAGTTCTAAGTGGAAAGGATCTCTCGACAAAGCCGGCAAGTTAAATAGAATCGGAAGAGGTTGATGTAGAATTCAAAGTATATCAAAGTAGACAACAAATGGAACATTAAAGTCAAAAGTAGGATCAAAATCTCGACTCGGATGATGATGGCGACCGAACACACGTACGAATCTCAGATACAATTTTTTATCTCGATTTAAGCCTAAAAAAATATCGCGCCTGCGAAGGCAATCTTTCACCCTCGGGAAGCGTCATGGTGGATTTATCGACGAGCTCACCAACGAGGCACAAATAAACCCAGCTCCTCCACTTGTTAACGATGCAAGCCGATGCCGTTTCGTTCGCGTTGACTGCTCTTCTTCCACTCGAGACTAATCTTTTCGCACGTGTTCTTCCATGTATCTTCCGTTTCGATCTAAGCAGCTGAGAATTTCATTATCCGCCAGATTAAAAAGCAACCGATTCGCCACTTTTTCCCGAAACTCATGAATAAATTTTCCTTGCGCGAAAAAAAAGATTTTCCCGCGCGCACTGCACTCCACTTATATTCACAATATATATTTTTATATTTATTTTTATGTTCAATATCATATATTATATTATAAGTTATAATTCATCTTATATTTCACTTTATATTTATTGTATTATTATTTCTTTTTTTACTTTCCCGTATATGTGCCGTCCTACTTTCCAGCAGGGACTCGAATTTCGAGTCTGCAGCACCTAAAGACGTCGCATAATTGAGTCACTCGCGTGGAACGGAAAAGGAAATTCGCCGTGAGATTTCCTCTGACGAGAGATACCGATCACTCTCTCAAAGCGTGTCCTTTGCGATTTCCCCTTCCGCGATTCCTAAACCTCCGTTCGTTCTTTGATATCGACTGAAAGTACAGGATAATCGCATAAATTTCGTATTATCCTCTTCTACAGCATCCGGAAAGGGAACCTTCCTCCTCCGCGAAATAAATCCACTTTTCTCAGTTACCCAATCGTCCTGACGAGTCCTGTGATCCGTGAGGGTTGCGACGACGGGTCAACGACGCGCGAAAAAATCGTCATCCTAGTCCCGAGTCGTTAGCACCGAAGACACCGGAGCTACCGCAGTGGTACTTTGCTCCTTTCAAGCACTTCCTTATATCTAAATCCTTACGATGCCTCGTTGCCCTTCGAGGAGCCACTACGAATATTCATTTCGAGGTAATCCGCAATGCGCCCTCGGCCAGTTCCACTTCGTCCAGTTCGTCCCGGCTGAGAACTTCAAGTCGGAAATCGAGTCACAGGCAGCAGCATTATTTCAAGAAGTTTTCTCTGAAGCGAGATCAAAGATCACGGATGCTGTGTGACCACCAGGTGCGGACGAGAATCTCCCCCGTGTACCTTCGACGGCGGCGTCGCGACGCCAACTGAGAGCACGTTCGACGCCGGAACTCGGGGCGCTTTGAAACCGGCGCTACCGAATGCAGTGCCGTACAAAGGCCGCCCGAAGTTCGCCGTGAAAGCAATCTGTCTTCTCGGGAACTCTCCTCGAACTTCTTTATGATCGCATAAATTAGTTCGCATATGATTAGTTCATAATTTATTATATTATATTTTTGAAATATCAATCAATGTTTCCCGAGGACTTCGTTAAAAGATCTCTTCTGTACTTTATCCAGAGTTATAAAAATATATATTAAAAATTTATCTTGATTTAATAATTGATTTGAACAAATATGTGTCAATTTAACTAATTAATTCGAGCAAAATCAATGGAATAACGTTTAACTGAT